GACTGATTACATCGTCTTCAAGTATCTTCTGCTTCTATCAACTTTTCTGTACTTGAATGAAGAAGCCTACTGTGTAGGCGAAACGTTTCATAATAAAGATACCTAACTGTTGCATATGTGTCTTACCTAACAACCTGTCTGTATTTTATACCATTTTAATGTTCAATCTGTCAGACACTGCAACACAAGGGTATCTTGGTACAGACCTGCAATCAACTTCGACAACTTCCACTAGTGAGAGGGGCTGGATTTGAGAGGGACCTGACTTCTCAACATCTGAGTTCTTACCTCTCCTAGTGGCCTAGGTCTCACCTCTTGGCGCTATAAAAAGCTCCATCCTGTCACTTCTTCTCCATATTGTTTCATACTATGGAACAATGCTCTTCTCCAGACTGAGGGACTGACCACCTCAAAACTTTAAGGGTGATGGACTGATTACATCGTCTTCAAGTATCTTCTGCTTCTATCAACTTTTCTGTACTTGACTGAAGAAGCCTACTGTGTAGGCGAAACGTTTCATAATAAAGATACCTAACTGTTGCATATGTGTCTTACCTAACATTACAAACAATGAAGATTGAGACACTTATGCAGCATATGGGAATCTTTATTCAGGAAACGTTTCGCCACACAGTGGCTTCATCAGTCCAATACAAAGAGGAAGGCGTAAGGAGAGGAGGAGAATGAGGTAATCAGTCCTTCAACCTGGAGTCGATGGACTGAACACATCGACTCCAGGTTGAGGGACTGATTACCTCATTCTCCTCCTCTCCTTACGCCTTCCTCTTTGTATTGGACTGATGAAGCCACTGTGTGGCGAAACGTTTCCTGAATAAAGATTCCCATATGCTGCATAAGTGTCTCAATCTTCAACTTGTCGGTTTTTCAAACCATTCATCACATTACAAACAATACATGGACACAGAGGGTATATAAAGGCTCAGAGTGAGATGCAATACTAGTGAGGTAACATTTCGATGTTCACTAGTGGTAGTAGTAGTAGTAGTAGTAGTGACAAAAGTAATACAATATGATAGAGAAATTGATTCGTACAAGATTAAAAGGATATAAAAGCTATTACTTGGGTAACATAAAAATAGGTTGGACAAATATAGACTGGAAAGAGGCAGCTTGTTTCAGTGTTCACTCTCTGTAATGTGCTTTGTGTAGTATAACAGGAGAGACTATGTGATGGCAGGGTTTACTGTTTTCAGGAGGATTCTTGCTAAGACTTCGGAGATGGTGAAGCTGCCGTTGTTTTGTTTAATTGTATTCGAAACAGCGATCAGTGCTGATTCGAGGCACTTGCGTCTGCGGAAATTAGTTTCTTTGATCACTAATTGGGCGTCTCTGAATTTCATGAGATGCGTGGTGGAATTTCGGTGTTCTACACAGGCGTTGTTCAAGTTATCGTTCCTACATGCGTAAATGTGTTCATTGAGGCGGGTGTCGAGGTTTCTTGCTGTTTCACCTACATAAATCTTGTCACAGCATCCACAGGGTATAGTGTAAACTCCTGCATTGACTGGTTCGTGGTGCTTGGATTGTGTCCTGGTTAGATCCTTTATTGAAGTGCTAGAAGCGATGGCGACTCTGGTGTTAGCTTGTGAAAGTACTTTTGAGACGTTCAGTGCAACCTGGCTGTTGGGAAGAATTATAACTTTGTTGGGAGTTGTGTTGATGCGTGGAGAATTAATGATCTGAAGAGCTCTTTTCTTGCAGTCTTTGATGAAAAAAGGAGGAAAATGTAACTCAGTGAATGTTTGGTGAATATATGTACATTCCTCGTCAAGAAACTCAGGACTGCAAATTCGGTATGCTCTTAGGAAAAACCCGATGGTAGTGTATCGGAAACCCACCAATCAAAATGATCTCACACACTTCTATTCCAGTCAAGATACCAAGACCAAAAGAGGCATCATCATCGGGTTTTTCCTAAGAGCATACCGAATTTGCAGTCCTGAGTTTCTTGACGAGGAATGTACATATATTCACCAAACATTCACTGAGTTACATTTTCCTCCTTTTTTCATCAAAGACTGCAAGAAAAGAGCTCTTCAGATCATTAATTCTCCACGCATCAACACAACTCCCAACAAAGTTATAATTCTTCCCAACAGCCAGGTTGCACTAAACGTCTCAAAAGTACGGCAGCTTCACCATCTCCGAAGTCTTAGCAAGAATCCTCCTGAAAACAGTAAACCCTGCCATCACATAGTCTCTCCTGTTATACTACACAAAGCACATTACAGAGAGTGAACACTGAAACAAGCTGCCTCTTTCCAGTCTATATTTGTCCAACCTATTTTTATGTTACCCAAGTAATAGCTTTTATATCCTTTTACTCTTGTACGAATCAATTGCTCTATCATATTGTATTACTTTTGTCACTACTACTACTACTACCACTAGTGAACATCGAAATGTTACCTCACTAGTATTGCACCTCACTCTGAGCCTTTATATACCCTGTGTCCATGTATTGTTTGTAATGATGAGATTAAGACACATGTGCAACATCTGGGTATCTTTATTGTAGACGTTTCGCCATCCAGTGGCTTTATCAATACAAATTCTAGGACATAACTTGAAGACAGTAGAACTATGTACAGAAGATGAGGTAATCAGTCCCTCAACCTAGGAGTAGGTGCGAAGAGCACCATAGTCGTGGAGATTCTCCACGACTATGGTTGAGGGACTGATTACCTCATCTTCTGTACATAGTTCTACTGTCTTCAAGTTATGTCCTAGAATTTGTATTGATAAAGCCACTGGATGGCGAAACGTCTACAATAAAGATACCCAGATGTTGCACATGTGTCTTAATCTCATGTTGTCGGTATTATATACCATTCGTACACAACATTGTTTGTAATGGCTTGATAAAGCTCCTGGAGAGCGAAACGTTGCCACAATAAATGTCACATTAGTTGCACTTGTGTCCTTTTACTTTACATATTGTCGGTAATTCTACCAACTTTATTATAATGTGACTTTGTAAATAGTCCAAGTCGGACCGAAACGTCGTCGTAAGCTTCTCTCTTCTATGTGCGGGTTATTTGTGTATTGTTCCAGTCACGGAATTGTGCCTTTTTGTTCTTTAAAGAAGTAAAGACTCAAACAAATTATAGCACACTCGAATCACTCATTAGAGTGTAAGATTAAAGTAAAGACTTAAGAGCGATCATTTTTTTTAAATTTCACTTTCAAGGATCACAACTGCATAATTATCACGACCACATGGAAAATGATAGGTTAAATAATTAGAACCTTTAAGACATAAAATACCAAACCACTGACTATACTTTTCAAGGAATTTGTTCTCCTTATGCTGGAACACTGTTTTCTTCCAACAGTTCCGTTTAAGGCAGGTGAAATTGCAAACCCGGAGATTTTTCAAAGAACGTTCAGGGCGCGCACAGATTCAGTCAAGCACCGAAATCATTGGGAAAACTTTTGGAGTCCCTCGATATGTGCTCTTAAAAGGTAAAGGAGAAAGAAACATTATAATCTACACTGGGAAAATTCTAGATAGATTGGTCATAAATCTGTACACACAAATTATTCCGAATGAAAGTAAAAGGTTCAGCAGACGGTAACATATACCCCTTATGAAAAGCAGAAGCGCAGTGAGTACACTGCGCCCCTGCGTGAAAGGGCCAAGACTTCCCAGTACCCTCGCTTCATGCATAAGGAGGATTACCAACAGACCCTTGGTTGTCTTCAAGAGGAGCCTGAACATCTTTCTCAAATCAGTCTCTAATAAGCTGAGCTATGGTACATACGCTGGACTTTGTGCAGCTAACACCAAGAGCCTGGTTGATAAGGCCATCCACCGAGAGGCCTGATCTCGAACTAAACTGCGAGGGAATTAACCTTTTGAACACTCTTCAGGTAGACTCCATGTTAATTATCAGTGATACCATCACCACCCTGATACTATTTGCATTATCATCAACATCTCTTCCAGTGATAAACCCACCGACGGATACCACACCCTTTATGTCATGTTACTGAAGTTTAAGATGATAATCGTGATGCAACGTTTCATGTGCAAATGCAAATGTTGCACTACCAAAACTGCGTTAATCTGAACCCAACAGTCTGATGGTCAGGTCCACAGGCTGATGGAAAAACAGTGATGCAAAGACCTCGTGCCACAAGCTCAGTGACCCTCCAAAAATCATTCACTAGGATGGTGTCAAGACAATCGTGTTGGGGTGGACCGCAGGTAGATTCTCACCTCCTGGGCCACATCGTTGTAGGCTCCATGGTCTTCCTTGTATCAGCCAATGAGCTAACATCCACATGGCCAACCCCATTTGCTGGCAACTACTGTGAAAGAGCTGCTGTTGAAATATATAAATGTAGCAAGAGACATTCCTTGTTGATTAACTAACTTTAATGAAGGGCTTAGAATTTTTTTTTCCATTTCCTCCTTCCTAAGATGTTATTTAGTCCAGATTGTTTTGAGATGCATTGTTTGAGTACTAATGTTTAATGTTTATTATAACAACGTTTTCAGCGGACATATCCCATTTCTGTATGGAAATAGAATTTCATACATCGCAGCCCATTGAAGGATTGTTTCTCTGACCGCGATTTCTACCTCATAAAATACTGGAAGCAATTCATTAAGTTCATACAGAAACATCATTAACGGCTTTTTTCCATAGTATTTATTAGGATGATGAAGTTAATCTTTCTCTAAATTAAAATCTTTCATTATTTTTGCCAGAGGCTGCAGTGTCTCTGAGGCAATTTGCATGAAATCTGCTCCATCCCATACACTAATAGCGAGAGATCGTTACACGGCGATGTTGTACCTCATATCAAATGTCATTGGAGAGCGGATGAAAGATAAGAGGTACACGTCCTATTTAGCTAATCGGGGAATGAAATCACATCTATACTATATCTGCACGTAACTGTGCCGAGGACGAGGCACATATCTACACTATTCCCTACACATAATTTTACAGACTGAAGCTCAGTCTCACCACGAAGATGATTGCAGTGATGGGTGTACATCTGTCCAGTTGTATATATGCCAGCAGGTGTGGCAGGTGTCTATCGCGGGCCCCGGCGTACACTAACCGAGAATGGGTGAAGATATTGCCATTGATGTTACCGCAGGTGGTGCAGCTAACGAAAGCGGCAATGATCCACACTAGTGATCCCAGCACCCGGCTCCCGAATGTCTGCAAAATGGCGGATCTCTTTTAGTAGTTGTTCGATCAACAGAAGGATGAGAGGAAAATGGATGAACAGATGGGCAGGTGAAAAGAAGGATGGCTGGAACGACAAATGGATGGAAGGGTAGATGGTTGAGGAATTAGATGGGCAAATGTAGAAGCAGGAGAAAGAATGTATGTATGAACGAATATACTGATAAACGAATGGACAAATGCGCAGACAGATAAACAAATGTATGGAAGGAATGACAGACAGATACGTAAATGGAAAAGAAAAATTGAAGAATAGCTAAGGTGCTCATGATACGGGTATGTAAATATAGCATCGAAATTGCAAATCTCAATACCTATACAGCTTAAGACTTCACACTGATATCAAACATTTTTGTACATCAACACTGATTGGTTAACCTTAGTGACACTGCTATAGGGCAGAGTACCGTCACTAAAACAGTAGTACTGAAGGAGAAAGCACACATGCCTCTGTAACAGTACTTAGAGAACAGAATACACTGGCCACAATCACATTACTGGAGGACAGAGTACAGTCACTAAAGCCACATTAATGGAGGACAGAATGCACTCACCACAGCCACAGCATTGGAGGAAACGATCTCAGCAGGAGTGAGAACAGCGTAGTAGGCCACATTGGTGAGGGTGTAGACAATAGTCACTAACATCAAAGAGAATATGATAGCACGGGGCAGGTCTCTAAAAAATATACAATATATAAAAGTTATACTCCAAGCAAATGATCTGTAAAAAACATACTGAACAAATAAATATTAAAAGTTAATGAGTAAATTAATTTCGGCACTTGAGGAAGGTATAATTTTGTGCCTATGCTGATCACTGACGTTTTAAGCAGTTTAAATAATTTTTAAATAATGTTATCATAACAAATACTCAGATATCACTTCTTAATATGCACTATAATGTTTTCAAAGTTTTACGTAGACTAAATTTAATTTGTAAAACTGTTTGTCATAAAGTTCTGAAAATGATGACCTTTCTTCATGTATGGTTACTGTAATAATGTTGGTAAATTTTGCTCTCCAAGAACTTTATGAAGCAGGTCCAAACAATACATGCAAATATGCATAATGTTCACCAAGACCAGGGTACTGGCACGGGTCTTTATTTTGCGATAACCTGTCTCTGGCTCCCGAAAGAGAATGGGTTCTGCATTGCTGCAGCATGTGCAGCTCAAGCCCTGTTGCGGACAGTGCATCTGGTGTGTCTCATAAGCGACAAAGCCATATGTAATCTTTGGATTCAAGACAGGAATGCTGATTCATATATATGCCCATGCTGGACATATTATACTCTTAACTGTGGACAAGCTAGCGAGGAGATGGATATGTGGTTATCATGGGGAACAGCTTATCCAGGACGTTGACTCCATGGTACACCAGGGTAGCCGCTATTCTCTCTGGGTCCTCCTTAGGAGGGGACGTCAGTTCTCGTTGCCTGTGGAGTGTCTCAGTGACGTGGCACTCCAGGAGATACTGTATCAGGGGCACTAGACAACGTGCTGGCACATCTCCTCTTCTGCCTTATCGACCATCAACTTGGCTTTGGGAAAGCCCAAACGAAGCCAATGGATAGTGGTACACCACTCTGGACCAGCTATTGTTATATGGGAGGGGGGATGGTTCTCCCTTAGTAACTGCTCGGCACTATTGTTGCGATGGGGCATCACCTAGGACATCCCCCGTTAGTTTCATAGCTCTGGCAGCCACCAGTTTGGTCTGGCTTATGCTGATGGGGATGGTAATCCCCGTATGTGGATGATCTGTGGCTGCCTTAGCCGCATCATCTCTCGCCTCATTTCTCCAGATGCCAGCATGGCTGGCGATCCAGTTCATTGTCGCTCTGTTACCGTGAGCTTCCACGGCTGTTGTTATGCTCAAAATCGATATGATGAGATGAACATTGTGCTGTGGTTGTGAATGAGAGAGGGCATTGATTGCAGAGGTGTAATCAACATGTATGACAGGTTGAAGCCGATGCCGTAGGGCATATGACAGTATCTGCTGAATGGCCACCAGCTCAGCTTGAAGAATCGTGCACTGGTGAGGAAGTCGCCACCCTTGTGTATGGCCATTGTGGTACATGCCAGCTGCTGCTCTCTTCCTGTCAGGGTCGACATATCCATCCATGAAATATACTGCACATGTGTGGCCCTCTCCCAGTGCCATGCTTGTCTCAGCAAGATTGCTGAGGGCGCCTTGACTGAAAAGATGCATAGAGGTAGGTAACTTCATGACGCTAGCATCGGCTGGATGTGTGCACCAGGGAGGTAGTGGAGCTTACCAGACAACAGCAGCTTGCGCCCAGCAGCGGAAAACGAGCTAATCCAGGCGTAATTAGTGAAGAATGGTGGATCTTGTGCCATGGCTGCCAATATCAGTCTTCTCAGCGGGGTACCTTGCTGGCGGGGCAGAATCGTGGCTACTATGCAGGCATTTATGTATCTGACTGTTAGCCAGGGAAAGAAGCCGGGACTCGAAACTGAGACAAGCTGTGTTGGTCCAGATGGAAGCCCTAAGCATAGTTCTTATCGCCTGGTTCTGTACGACCTCCACCCTTTGCCTGCTCTGCAGAAAGAGATGAACCAACGCTGATGCACCATAGGCAATGAGCGAGCGCACAGCTTGTATATAGTACAAAAGACTTCTTTGCTCGCTCCTGCACGGTTCCGAAGGTGAGGTCGAGGTGACCGCCAAACAGGTGTGTGAGGTCTCCATTGTTTAGCCACTTTACCACTGGAATATCGTGTAGGAGTATTGCTATGTGTCTGCCAGCAGCGTCGGTGGCTAAGTGAGAGTGCAGCAATTGGTGATGTTCGTTAACTCTCCACCCATGATAATACACTCAGTACGTGTCCGTGCGAGTATTTCCTCGAGGATATGTTTCAGGTTATTTTACAAGTTTTAGATGGTAACAGGTGTCCCAGGGATGTGTGCGAGAAAGTCCTGCACCTCGACATCTTCTTCTCCTGAGGTATTGCATCTGATACGAATACAGATGTATCCCTGCAGTGAACGTCCTTGTCAATGTCCCAGAAATACCCAGCAAAGCCTGGGAGTCTTGGACATATAGTCGGAACAGTAAGGTTTCTTGTAACAAGACACTGTCAACGTCATCCCGAATCACTGCCTCCAATAGAAGGTGCTGTTTGCCCTTCAGGCCCTGAGTGTTCTACTGTAGGACACTGAGAAAGTGATTTGGTTTCCTGAGCTGGGAGGCAGCCCGGTCCACTCTGTGAATCTGCAATTCATGGCATCCACCGTCTCCTCTTCCATCAGTAAGCACACCCTCAGGAGTGTGCTGACCATCTGCCGGAACATTCTCTTTTGTTCTGTGGAGTTGATTGTGTTGTAGATGATATCTGTGAATGCCTTGATCAGTGCTACTAGACCCTTCCTGGCAAGGGCCTGCGTTTGCCGTGGGTTGGAAGCAGTGGATATTACCTGGGCTGTTGTGGTCTGTGGCCACTGCTGAGGGTTGGATTTCTTCAATATGTACACCAGGGCCTGTTGCTGTGCCAAGTTGGGTAGCCGGCATCTGCTGCTGAGATGCATCACTGCCTGGGAAGCTTGCATAATGGCTGTGCAGGACAGTTAGTGCCTGCGATGCCATTTTAGGGCCAGTGGGGGCTCGTGTAGTGCCGTCTGCTGATTGCTTTGATCTGATGTTTCCTTCAGTGGTGCCAATTCCTGTTGGCGCCACTTGTTTCTTTTCGTTTTGTTTCTTTGTTGAAGTAGAGGGGTAGGAGGCTCCTGTCCCTGACACCTGCTTGAGGCTTCAAGGGGTCGGAAATTCCTCTACATTGCATTGGGTGACCTGATGAGAGTTCTGCAGTATTGCAGGGTTCTCTGTACCCACCGTCTGATGAGAGTGTGGTCCCGACATCGCACCTGCCCCACAAACCGAGGTCTAACCGGGAGGGCAGCGGTTCCACATGCTGAATTAGGACCTGCCGGGTTGATGCATTGCCTGCTGTTTTTGCCTTGAGATGTTGAGCTGGGCATCATGAGTCCATACCGCATTACTACACTTTGGTGATCTGCCGAGAATCCAGTTCCTTCAGGGTGAAGGAACGGTCTGTGTCCATGACTTTAAGATGGTGTACATTTCCTCATTGAGAGGAGTGATTATGGATTCTTCCCTCAGGCTGCACCATATCTTGAACCTCAGGTTGTGTTGTAATTCCAGGTATGTAATCATGCCATAGTGGGTTCTGTATTCCCTGTATGGCTTCACATTGAATCTGCCAGGACGGTTCAGGTGGTCTGCCTGCTCTTTGGACAGATGGCACAATGATACATTCTTCTTGGTTTTCAGAATATGGGGTGTTTGTTCCTTCTTTTTTCCGGAATTCGTTGGCTGCATGGTTGGAATTTTAAGATCTGCTACAGTTGTTGGCATGTGAGCAGGCTCTTCATCCAATGACTCAGAGTGGCCTCGCACCTTTGCTAGAATTGCGCCACACATTTCCAAATCCGAGTCCTCAGTTGTGTCCCTGGGACATCATGACCTCTTTCTTTCGGAAGAAGCCATGTGCCTATCTCATGATATGGTAGTAAACACAGTACAGGTCTGTGGTATGTACCTGCAGACGTGATGTTTGTGTGCTGATGTGCTGTGAATGACTGATGTGTGAAATTTTGTGTTTATTTGAGTTATCAGGAACTGTGTCGTGACATGGGTCATAATCTCAGGACGACCCGTCTGAGGATCTCCAAGGAGATGTCAATCTAATTCAGCTTTTCTGTGGCCACGATTAGGGTCTCACCCGACCAATTACTCTTGGATAAACTAAAAAGAGGAGAGACTATGGAACCTCGGTGTTGAAACTATGGCAAGAATCATGAAGTATTCATGCTGGTAGAGTTACAGACAATATGTAAAGTAAAAGTACACAAGTGCAACTAATGTGACATTTTATTGTGGCAACACTTCGCTCTCCAGGAGCTTTACCGAGCCGTTACAAACAATGCATGGACACAGAGGGTATACATAGGATTAGATTGAGGTGTAATACTAGTAGTAGTAGTAGTAATAGTATTAGTAGTAATATATGTTGTAGTAGTAGTAGTACTACAATATGGTAGAACAATCAACTTGCACATGTATAAAAGGTTATAAAAGCTAACCTATTTTTATGCTGCTCACGTAATAGCTTTTATAACTTTTTACTCATGTGCAAGTTGATTGGTCTACCCTATTATATTACTACTACTGCTACTACAACTTATATTACTACTATTACTACTACCACTAGTATTACACCTCACTCTAAGCCTATATATACCCTCTTTATCCATGTATTGTTTGTAACGGCTTGACAAAGCTCCTGGAGAGCAAAACGTTGCCACAATGTCACATTAGTTGCACTTGTGTCCTTTTACTTTACAAGAATCATCAAGCCTGGAACCTGCACTGCCCGGAGAGGCTTCGCCATGTCAGGGCAGCATGGAAAAACCCCAGTTGTCCAGCCTCCAACATCAAGTAGAACCCTCACCACCGAGCAGCAGCCTCGTCCAGAGAAAGCTTCAGCATCACGGAAACAAGGGCCACTTCCACGAAGGAAGCTGAGAAAACACCGATGGGGTGGCGTCCTTTCTCATCACCCCAAGAGTCACAAGTGAAGAACACTACTCCAAGAGAGATAAGCAGACCATCCCCAATTACTCCTGAGCTATCAAATGATGTCAACTATCACATGTTTCACCAATATCGTATGTGACCTGATAGGCTCAGAAGAAAACGAAGAGAAATTCAAACATATTGTGAAGACCTTCATGAACAAATGCTTGATGGACAAAACAGAATTTAAGTTTTTCCAATTTATTAGAAAAAGGAGCCTAGAAACAACGATAGGGAAATCTAAGGGCCTCAGCACGTTGTTGAGCATAAAATATTTCCCTGTGGAACGAACAGGGACTACATCAAAACCCTGATCACAGTCACAGAACAGCTGAATTATATTGATATCTCCTTCGAGATCCTCAGACGGGTCACCTTACGATTAAGACCCGTGTCCTGACAAAGTTCCTGACGAATCAATCAAATAAAACAAAAAACTGTATTTTTTTAAATGGATTGACAAGGCTCTTGTAGAGCGAAACGTTGACATAATAAAATGTTGCATTAGTTGCACTTGTGTCCTTTTACCTAACATGTTTGACTATTATTTTCATGAGGACGTGATAATCCTGTAATTCCTATACAGTGTCAGGAATAAGACGCAATCAGGTCTGAACCGAGGAAAAGAAGAGAGGCTCCAAGTTCTCTGTTCAAGAGCCCTTCTGCTTTAAGACACCTTCTATGAAGGGTTTCTTCATTAAGAACAGTTAATCCTCATCTTTACAGAAAGCTTACTTATTTGAGTCTGCCAGTTCCTCTGTCACGTAGTTGAGGCTGTCCCTGAGCAAAAAGAATAACGTTGATATTAGTGCTTCTAATGAACCAAGAGTTCACATCATCATCATGTATAATAAAATAACCACTACTAACAAAGACTAGGCCTAAAATTATGCAGTCATCGTTTTTAATGGCTTTTATTAGATTTAATTATAAATTTCTATATATTGTATCTGAAACAAACAAAAATTGATGAAACAGCTACAAAGGTTATAATTATAATATATAATAATAGCTGTTAAATACAATTTACAAAGCTGAAGATTAAAACTTGAAACATGTTAGATGACACAACAACAACTAAGGGTGAAGTGGTATGAAATTTCTGTACGGTGGAAAAAGAGACACCAGTGCAACATAATACCATCATTAACGACCGGAAACTGATGACTTCATCTCCCTTTGCGACTCCAGCCCACGATTTTGTAGACCTCATTGAACTATGAGTTGATTTTAACTGTTTCTCTTTAAAATTCTGTCAACAAACTTTCAGCCTACCCACTTAGCGCTGTGCTGGAGAACCTATGCATGAAATATCTTGAAACCGAGTGGTTTTCTATCATTATCACCTCGGTCACCTGGCTCCAGTATTTTGACGACATGTTCATTAACTCCTCGAATATTCGACCTCCCTGCACTCCAACACACCCAGGTCGATCACTCCATCTATTTCAAGCTAAAATGTGAAGCCTACAGCACTCTTCCTTTTCTCGATGCTCTTAGCAAATCTAATCATGAAATACGTTACATAGTCTACCGCAACCCACCAACCAACACGATCTTCTCCACTTCCACTCACACCATGGCACAAAGATATAGGCATTTCCTTACTCTAGATACCAACAGTAACGAAGTCCTAGAAGAAGAATGCTCTTTTCTTGAAGAAATATTTGCTAAACTTCATTATCCTGGTAATTACGAATCCTAGAATAGATATCTTTAAGAGGTTGCCTGACTTTATTCTTTTTCATTTTTCTTCCTTCAGTTATTCTCGCAACTCGAGAATGCCTCATCAAATCGCCTTCAAATTTTCATCATCTGTGTACGGTAATGGAGAGTAAATTCTTAGAACAACTGGCATCTTGGAATGGCTCAGATAAATTCCAAAATCCTCAGTGACGTAGCTTCAGACGTTCAAAAAAGATAACAAAAAATTCGACGACGGCATAAAATGAAACTCAAATGTGTAAGTGCAGATTTGACGATTGTGTGTAAAATAAAGTAAAAAAAAATATATTTTCTTTAAAACGTTGAATAATTTTCAGTTTACGTCTTCTGAACAGCTTCAGTATTTATCAGTTGATGTATCTTAGGGTCAGGATAGTAACTATTAAGCTTCATTTATGTGCAGACAAATTTGTTGATGTAGTAACATATTCAAAACAAGTTAGGAATGACTGGTATCTATGCCATAACCGGAGAATAACTTATATGATCGGATTAAAATTTTCACCACTAATGCATAGTTTCCGTAACACAACGTTCATTCTTCTATTCTATTCTATTTGATTCGCCGGTAATCCCGGCCCGGGTCTCTTCCATTTTGGTGACCCGGCATTGGCTCCCCGGGTAGGGAAGTGACATTTAACGTTACTTGCACCTGTGTAGCAGGTCTTCAGCAGGAAGGGATGGGGGGTACCTCACCGGCCTATGGCCAGATGACGTACCAAACGTTAGTGTGCACTAACAGTGGCTGGTGTGCAGTGCAATGGAGGCCCAAAGCAGGCCCTCGCAGCAACTTCAGCGGGGGGGCGGATGACGTGTAAGGACTGGAAGTAAGGTTTCCAAGTCCCTGACAGCTAAGTACACAAGATGTGCTGCCTCATCCTCTCGGGTCTGCCCTACTGGGGTCATTGGAAAGTGTCTACGGCGAAGGGGCATCGTAGCCGGGCAGTCTAACATAAGAACATAAGAACATAAGAAAGGAGGAACACTGCAGAAGGCCTGTTGGCCCATACTAGGCAGGTCCTTTACAATTCATCCCACTAACAAAACATTTGCCCATCCCAATTTTCAATGCCACCCAAGAAACAAGCTCCGATGTGCAAGTCCCACTCAAATCCAACCCCTCCCACTCATGTACTTATCCAACCTAAATTTGAAACTACCCAAAGTCCTAGCCTCAATAACCCAACTAGGTAGACTGTTCCACTCATCAACTACCCTATTTCCAAACCAATACTTTCCTATGTCCTTTCTAAATCTAAACTTATCTAATTTAAATCCATTACTGCGGGTTCTCTCTTGGAGAGATATCCTCAAGACCTTGTTAATATCCCCCCTATTAATACCTATCTTCCACTTATACACTTCGATCAGGTCTCCCCTCATTCTTCGTCTAACAAGTGAATGTAACTTAAGAGTCTTCAATCTTTCTTCATAAGGAAGATTTCTAATGCTATGTATTAATTTAGTCATCCTACGCTGAATGTTTTCTAACGAATTTATGTCCATTCTGTAATATGGAGACCAGAATTGAGCTGCATAATCTAGGTGAGGCCTTACTAATGATGTATAAAGCTGCACTATGACCTGTGGACTTCTGTTGCTTACACTTCTTGATATAAATCCCAGTAATCTATTTGCCTTATTACGTACGCTTAGGCATTGCTGTCTTGGTTTAAGGTTGCTGCTTACCATAACCCCCAAGTCCTTTTCGCAATCTGTATGGCTAAGTTCTACATTATTTAACTTATAAGTGCTAGGGTTATAGACACTCCCGAGCTTCAGAACCTTGCATTTATCCACATTGAACTGCATCTGCCACTTTTCTGACCAAGAGTAGAGTTTGTCTAAATCCTCCTGAAGTTCCCTAACAGGTAGTGCACCAAGGGCTGCGGAACCATTCAGTCACAATGGGCACAGAGCTCCTCTCGTGCCCATTCAACAATCCGCGCAGTAGTAGGATACCCTAAGCGTAGGCGGTGGATATGCACCCTCAGTTCCCTGGACTGTGTCCGAATACTTGGAGGGGGCACCCTGTGGGTCGCCCTGACATACCAACAGAGGCTCCGTGAATCCCCAGGGTCAGGGAATGGGCGCCTGGCCGCACCAGCAGCCCACAGCGCAATCTGGCTGAGGCTGATGCAGATCGCAGCACGTGGCTGTGCCTCGAGGGTTGCAGTCCTAGCAGCCTCATCTGCAGCATCATTGCCAGGGATACCCACATGGCTCGGGATCCAGTTGATGGTAGCCCTGCGACCCTGGGCCATGAGAGTCTGCAGGTCACCCCGGATGGATGTGATTAAGTGTATGTTGTCCTTTGGCTCTCTGTGCATAAGCGCTTGGATCGCTGCCTTGGAATCAACGTGGATGATGGGGGGATGCTGATGGTCTGCAAGAGCATGCCACAGAGCTTGTTGGATGGCAAAGAGTTCGGCCTGGAGGATGGTGCAATGGTCTGGGAGGCGCCAACCTGCTGTCAGATTGCTGTGGAACATCCCAGCAGCTGTGCGGCCTGCCACTGGGTCTCTAGAGCCATCAGTGTAATATGGCACACACCCTGGGCCTTCCGCACCCACAATGCTAGCCGAGGCAAGGTGGTGCAGAATGTCCCGGGTGCAATGCCTCTTGCTGTCTGGTAGGGTTGCCCAGCGCACCGCAAACGCTCTGGTGCCCAAGGGGGTGGCACCGTGTAGTTTCGCTGCCAGTCTGTCGCAGCCTCCCGCCTGGAGCAATGTCATGGGCAAGAGCTTCTGTGTGGCATCTGCTACTGACCACATCCATCAGCGGCCGGGATGCAGTGGAATGACCTGTCCTTGGCGGACCCGTAAATCTCTCATCAGTTTGTCAGCCCTGGAGTTGGAGATACTTTGCAATCCTCCTGGCAGCTACCAGTTGGATCCTGTCTTCAAGAGGCTGTAGCTGCACCTCAAGGTTCAGAGCCACTGCACTGGCCCACCTAGGAGCCCCCAGCATGGCCCGTACAGCTGTGTTCTGGATGACACAGAGGGATTTGATGTTTGTGGGTCTGGCGTGAACCAGAGCAAGTGCCCCATAGTCAACGAGGGAACGTATTGCCTGGATGTAGAACAACCTCATGACCTCGAGGCTGGCCCCAACCCTAAGGTTGGCCATGGCACTCAATGCCCTGACCCTCTGCAGAGCCCTCTCTTTAATGTGGCACACATGTTTCTGGAAGGTGAGGTGCCTGTCAATGTAGATGCCAAGGTACCTATAACTGTGAACCCACTCCAGGTCGATGCCCAGGACCCGCAGCCTCTGACTGGGCACCTTGGTGCGAAGGATCATGGCTTTGGATTTCGCCGCAGATATCTTGAGTCCCAAGTGATGGCAGGTGGAAGCCAGCAGATCGAGGTCCTCCTGGGCACGCTGCAAAAGCCGGCGCTTCCTAGGTACGACAAGTGCCAGGTCATCGGCATAGCTGAGGAGGATGGTGCCTCTGGAGAAAGGCAGGCACACCAGCTGGTGCATCAGTACATTGAACAGGGTGGGGACTAACACCCCGCCCTGTGGAGTGCCATTGTCCAGGGTCTTGAGAGAAGAGGCATGCCCCTGGAAGCGTACCCGGGCCCACCTGTCCTGGAGATAGGAACGAAGCCATGAAAGCAGCCTGCCTTTAATCCCCCTGTGGGCCAAGAGTGAGAGGATGGCAGGTGCACTGGCTAGCTCAAAAGCTTTCTCGAGGTCAAGAAAGACAACAATGTGGGCTTGGGCGTCCGACCCAATGCCGGTCAGTAGAGTGTTAAGGCTTTCGAAAGTGCCCACTCCTCTGGTGAAGCCATAGAGGTGTTTATGAGGAGGGCCAAGCTTCCACCTCAGGCGCTCCAACACCATCCTTTCAGACACCTTCGAGATGCAACTGGTGAGGAGATGGGTCTCACACTGCCAGGATCCCCAGGCTTAGGAATCGGTATGATGTCAGCCTCCTTCCATACGACAGGGAGTTTGCCAGCTCTCCAAGTCTGGTTGATGACCCCCAGGACAGCTGAATGTCCAGAATGGCCAGACCGAGTGATCATGCCATAGGTGATACCATCATG